GATGAATTCATTCCTTTAATCCTTACAATCTTAAAGATTCTGTAGCAGATTACAATCTTCAAGATTATGGAGCAGATTCATCATGTACCCGTTTCATCATGCAATTATTTCATGACGACCAAATACATTATGCACCCGTTTCACTACTCTTCGTTCAATTACGCAATGAACCAGTTTCACCTTCATGAAACCTATTTCGTGTATATTAATTTTCTTATTTCATCCGTGATTTGTTGAATTCATTCCTTTAACCCTTACAATCTTCAAGATTCTGGAGCAGATTACAATCTTCAAGATTCTGTAGCAGATTACAATCTTCAAGATTATGTAACAAATTTATCTTGTACCTGTTTCATCATGCAATTATTTTCTGACGAACCAAATACATTATGCACTCATTTCATTTTTCACTTCACATACTAAATTGATCAACTACACCATCAATGAAACGGGTTTACCATGAAAATGTTTCACTACTCATTGTTCAATTATGAAATGAACCAGTTTTACTTTCATGAAACCTGTTTCATTTGTATTAATTTCTTTTTTCAATCAAGATTTGATGAATTCATTACATTATGCCTTACAATCTTCAAGATTCACCTGCAGATTCAATCGCATCACAATATATGTAGTTCAAATTTTTAAAATTAGAATATATTTAAATGTTACCATTTATAAAATTTCATTTATTACGTTTCTTTAATTAAGATTTATTAATAATTTTCATATTTAATTGAAAATATTATAAATGACCAAAATACCCTTATTGATTAAATTTAATTAGAAAAAAATGAAATTTTCCTATTGGTCGAAATTAGTTTACACGGTTTTTTAGAAATGCACGGTTTTCATTTGAACGTGCCCCTATATAAATAAATATATATATATATATATATATATATATATATATATATAAGTGTCTGTAGGTGCTCATATCATTTTGTTCAGCATCAGTTTGGTTTCCAAAACTTACACGATTAAGTGAGTTTTCATGTGACTTACAAGATGAGATACAGATCTAGTATGTGTTTTGAATGATTTGCATGTCATGTGTCATGTTTTAAATTGTTTTAACATGCTAAAAGTTTTTTGATATATCAACTATATTATGCACAAAAAAACAATACATTTTAGTATGTGTGGGGACACATATCAAGAAGTCGGTTCCGTTTCACTTAGGGAAGAAAGCTCCAGTATCAATATACGTCACAAGAGCCGTTGTACCATATCAACTATTAGCGTATCAAATGTTCCCTATCATATAGACTAGTTATAGAGCTCTCGGTCCATATAGGATGTATGTGCATATGTGTTCCAGTGGTGTCGGAAAAATTACGTAACATATTTTATGGAAGCATTTTTCAGAAGCAATAGTAAATCATGGACTCGTTGAACTTATTAATAATTGATTAGCATCGTATATCTCATGAGAAGGCAGTGCAAGTAGCAGCAAGAGAGCACAAACAGCGTAAGAAAGTATATGCGACAAAGGTTTACGTTTTCATTTGTTTAAGTATTGTTCTAGTTTAGTATGAGATGAACCAGTATTGTAAGACAATCAGTATTTAATTGTTGGTATTGTTTCCAGTTTAGTTTCAATTATGTTTAAGTTGTTTCAGCAATTGTGAATTTTCTTAACGACGTTAATTTTCTTTCGTTAGATGGCCTCATCTACCCTTCATATGAGGGCATTTTGGGTATTCTTTACAAAATTAAAATTATTTGGGTAAATTATTTAAACTTTAGAAACTTTATATTTGCCGTTTATCCTTTGTTAGATGGCCTCGTATACCCTTCTATAGAGTTAGGAGCCGTTTATCAAACGCTTACTCGTGTAAGTGTTTACCAAGTCATTTTACTTTACCGGATAAATATTGTAAGGACCAAGAATCTTACCGGTAAGAGCGAGATAAGGACCAAGAGTCTTACCCGGTAAGTGAGGGTGACGACTCTTACCACGCTAAGCGCTTACCGGGTAAATTGTTGCATATGATGTCGTTTTTGTGGACTAAAATCTTACCCGTTAAGTAACTGATAGTGTTAGATTTTACCAATAAGCATTTACCGGGTAATTTTTATATCTAAATATCTAAAAAAATTATATTTAATAATTAAATTTACGGATTGTAACTGATAGGTCCGTATTTTATAGATCAAAGTATAAAAAAAGAAAGTTTTTGAACCAGATCTGTAAAATAAGGGACCAAATATGTTTATTTGGACCAGGCAAAAATATATCTGATGTCTTTTTCTAAATTTATAAATTTGGTCCCTATACTTCACGGACCTGGTTTAGAAGCTTTCATTTTACACACAATTTGACCCTTTCATAAAATACGAATCTGTCACTTACGAACCAAGTAACATTTTAGTAATTTTAAAGATATGGCTAAAAAAATAAAATAGACAAGTCAAAAATAATTATTTTAATTAATTTAATTGACAAAATCCAGTTTTCTTATAGGCTGTTTGATAGTTGCTGAATGGTTTTGTGCAGAATCATTAAGTGGTTAGAATGATTAAAAGACTCTCATGATATAATGCAAAATGAAATATAATTATTTGGTAATTGTTTACAATGAAATTAAGGCTCTTAATGGTTAATAAAGGCCCATGATACAAACTCATTCAGTGGTTTTAGAACCATTAAGAAACTTACTTTTTTTTTACAAACAAGATTCACGTTCTTAAGAGATTGTCTTTTAATGAAACTATCACATGAATAGTATTTGTTATTTATTCAAGGGCAAATTGCATGAAAAAGTAACGTACTTTAACTTGATTCCTATTTTGGGTAACGTATTTTCAAAACTTTCATTTTGGTACCTATTGATAGAGCAAATTGCATGAAAAAGTAACGTACTTTAACTTGATTCCTATTTTGGGTAACGTATTTTCAAAACTTTCATTTTGGTACCTAAGATGTAAAGTTTTAAACATTTAAGTACCCGGATAACTGGTTGAAGTATTAACCGATTATCATGTTGATGTGGTATCCAACTCGGTATTATTTGCTGACGTGGTCAGTGACGTGGATTTTTTAAAATCTAAAATTAGTCTTTTTTTTTGTTTAAAATTAGTCTTTCCGGGTTACCCGGGTACTTAAATATTTAAAACTTTACATCTTAAGTACCAAAATGGAAGTTTTGAAAATACGTTACCCAAAATATAAATCAAGTTAAAATACGTCATTTTTTCATACAATTTGCTTTTTATTCAAAATTTAAAATGAAATGATAAAATAAAAAAATTATTATAGTTTTGTTAGTTGAAGAAAAATAAAAGGTATTGGATAATTATGGCGGTAAAAAGTGGTGGGGTCCACAGTGTGCAGCATGTGATTTTTAACTGTCCTCATCACCGGTTTGTCGGCACTTATTCCCCCAATTCCCCGTGACGTTTGTTGAAAAAAAACTAAAAATTATCTATTTAGGTCCTTTAAGTATCATAAATTGTCAGGTTACCCCCTCTTCTTTACAAAACTCCTATATTAACCATTAAAGTTGATGCTATTTAAATATCATGCATGTTATGCCGTAAAGATTATCAGCTTTTCACGATAAATATCATAGGAATAAATTACAAATCATAGTAACGAAAATCATAATCTCTAAATCATAGAAACAAAAATTGCAAATTTTAATAAACCACAGGGATGAAAAATATAATTTACTCTAATCTATACTATCTTATAAACCAAATTTTATCAAAAGTCTTAAGAACAATTTTTAATGCACAAAGTACTATGCATTTATGTGTAAAGTCTTAAAAGTCTTAAAAATAACTCATAATGCATTAAGTACTACTACTTTATGCATTTAGTTTTAAAATCTTTTAATCTACGATTAAAATAACACATAGTGTAAGTTACCAATGCACATTATTATCTTTTCTTTTCATATTTCGAAGATACTTTTGATAACTTTCACTCATGTCTTCACCCTCTCAAGGTGAGATTCAAACTGATATTCATGAGTTATTAAAAGTTATTTCATTCATCTCTCATTCAATTGTTCTAGAATTCTCGGTCTCGCTCTCGATCTCGATCTCTTGATTATTTGTTGTTGGTGTAAATCGAACATATTTGTGGAGTCGTTTAAATATGTTGGATTTTAAATATATTGGACTTCAAACTGTCATACAATTTTTTCATCGATAAACTATAATTGGAACCATAACTCTTATTTATTCAAATTGTATTAATATGTAACGATCAACTGTAACTTATATCATTGTTAAATATTCTCTAATAAAACCAATGAAACTTCAAAATTAAGAGTTTATTAAAAATTACTTAGGGATTGTTTGTTTACCTCTTAATAGTTTTATTAAGAGGCGGCCTCTAAATTATTAAAAGGTGAATCTTGTATAGTATAAAAAAAGTCTGTCTCTTAATGATTCTATGTATGATTTTACATCTTAGGCATCTCTTAACCATTCAGCACCCTAATTTCATTGTAAGCAATTACCAAACGATTATATTTCATTTTGACTACATCATGGGAGCATCTTAATCATTCTGACAACTTATTCATTCTATATCAAACCATTTAGCAACTATCAAACAACCCCTTAATATTTTATATTAAATAATATAAAATTTTAATATCATTGTTATAATAATATAAATATTTGATTGATTAACGGAAAAAAGAATACAATTTTAGAAAAAAATAATAGTTAATAAATACGTTTAGTATAAAACTAACTGTAACGGTAATATTGTTTCCTTTTACTAACAAAATAAAATCTATAACTTAATTTTGAATATAAAATTAACAAAACAGTAATTAATTTCCTTCTACTTTCAGTTATATTTAATTTAATCCATTTAAATAAACAGAATAAAACCCGAAATATATATATATTTAATTCGATATTTAAAACCTTCTAAATTAAATTATTTTAATTATTATTTTTAATTTATATTTGTTGGAAGGAAAAGGGGGTATAAATACACATTCCCTCCGTTATACGTTAAGCGCCAAAAAGAAAACATGAAGCATCTCTTCTTCTTCTTCTTCCCATTTTTGCTTCTAATTCTTCAATTCTCTCTCTGTAATTCCAGTTACCTTATCTATGGCGAAGCGCTCTCCAAATCAATCATGTTTTTTGAAGGCCAGAGATCTGGTTTTCTTCCTAACGACCAGAGGATCAATTGGCGCGGGAATTCGGGACTTGGAGACGGTTCGGCCGTCAATGTCGACCTCACGGGAGGTTACTATGACGCTGGAGATAATGTCAAGTTTGGTTTCCCTATGGCATTTACGACGACGATGCTGGCGTGGAGTGTGATTGAGTTTGGTGAAATGATGCCGCCGCCGGAATTGAGGAATGCGCTGGTGGCGATTAGGTGGTCCACTGATTATTTGCTCAAGATGGTGGCGCAACCAGATCGGATTTTTGTACAGGTATGATTAGTTATGGTTGCATTTGTGGTAGTAATAATTAACTTCTAAATTAGTATCGCTTAAACTACCAGATCGGATTGTTGTACATGTATGATTAGTGGTTATTAACCGCTAATTAGTATTGCTTAAACCACCAGATCGAATTGTTGTGCAGTTATGATTAGTGGTTGCATTTGTGGTAGTAATAATTAACTTCTAAATTAGTATTGTTTAAATCACCAGATCGGATTGTTGTACATATATGATTAGTGGTTGCATTTGTGGTAGTATTAACCGCTAATTAGTATTGCTTAAACCACCAGACCGAATTGTTGTGCAGGTATGATTAGTGGTTGCATTTGTGGTAGTATTAACTGCTAAATTAGTAGTGGCGGGTGTAATAGTTGGGTGTAGGTGAGGATAATTTGGTAATACATGTGAAGCGGTGTAGCAGTAGTTGAACCTCCTTTATATGTGGCTCTACATGATAAATAATACCGGTGTCGGACTTGAATTTTTATTAATAATGCTCATGGTCATAGGCACATAAAACTACAATAATTGATATATTTGAAAAGTTAAAAAGCTAACATTTCATGATATATAATACCCGGTGTCTTCAATTGTCCGTTGGAGCTGCTCTAAAAACTTTTGTAGGTTGAATTGAGCATACCTAGATGTATGTTTTTGGTGCTTTTCAATAGAATATGGTCTTAGAAATTCATGTTAGATGTAAAGAGTTTGATTTACAAAGATGGAGAACTAGTATTAAAAATGACCAAAAAGCAGTAAATTTTCCTCTTCTATGTTTTCACTGCTCATACAAAATTACCTTTTTACAAAATGCAGTGTTCAATTTGTGTATTTTGTTGGGAACGATTGTTGACTTGTAACAAAAAGTCAGATAAAAAAATTCCATAACTAGAATGCCGGGAAAGCTTTACAGATAAATCCAAGTTTTGTCTTATTATTAATTGGGATGGTACAAATAGATAACCTTTAACGTGACCCAAATAAACTTTTTCTTGATAATATTTAACATAAAGATGGGTTGGATATAACCAAATTTGTCTCTTTTGAAACTTTAAAATTAAAAAGAAAACCCATGTCAGTAATATTATATTGGTTTGTATGTCATGTAATTTGGTGTCTCGTGTAATTAGACTTCTAGGTAGTTTTAGATTCTAAATATCTGAATTTCAAGAAAGATGTTAGTCCTGAAAAGGAAAAATATAACAAAATAGTAAAATATGATAATAATATATAAGTTAAATTTGGCCATGAAAGCAGTGAGGTGATATGGTGCAGGGTGTATCTGCAACTGCAAAACTGGAGTCTTGACATGTATCTTGACATGTATGTCGTCATACGCATGGGCTATCCACTACCCAACTATGAAAATCCGTTAGCGGGTATTCGGTGCACAAAGCCTGGAGAATGACAACATCTTTTTAGTTTAATCCGTGACATATCATCTAACATGGTCTTGTTTATTTGGTTTTATTTTTATTAAAATTGTAAGATACAATGCACCACCTTTATTGTCTCTGGGCACTGGAAAATGTCTTCCATGTTTCTCAAACTTAGAGTTTACCTCCTAATATTTATTGTTGGGTTTTGTCCTTTTTTAAACTTAATTTATGTTTGTCTCAATTCGTTTACAATTAAGCATATCTTGTCTGTAATTGATGCCTTAGGTGCAAATTTATGCAGCCGTAATTATATTTGAGAGGAAAGGCATCTTTGATTAATTTGTTGATTTTTTACAAACACGACTCATTTTGAAGCACTCACATCTTGACTAAAACCTGTTACAAACACTTTCTCAATAGGTGGTTTCATGGAGATAACTTTACTTTTTGGGTAGATGACAAGACTACGATCCATCTCCCCCTCCCAAACCCTAGATGTGATTTGTTTGATTTACATTATCTATTGCTTGTTCTGTTTAGAATTTGTAATTAAAAAAATATGAAAATTTAATCACTTACTTTTATTCATTTTCCATTAAAAAATTCCAAAATATATTTTAGATGGTATAAAACACATGATCTATGCACTTGTAAATGCCTCCACAGCAACCACACTTTTGTCCAAGCATGTATCTTAAAAACTCACAAGTTAGATACTATGGTTTGTTAGTGATGACTGATGAGTTACACTTAGCATGCCTCTTTACTAATATGTATAAAATACTCGAGGGCCAAAAACAGCAAATCACAAGCTAAGCTATATATGAGGGTGCATCAACAAATTGTGGTTTGATATTAAGATGAAAGCTTGAGGAATTAGTTACTCAGGAAATCTATTCAATATATTTTCTTCCGTTTTATTTCGTGAGACCACGGTGTTTGGAATGTCTGTTTACTTGTCCAAGAAGTTTATTTAAGTGATCTCCTTCCATATGATTGAAATGAATTTTCGGTCTTGCAACCAATAATGATGATCCACATATGAACTGATAACATAACGGTATATAGTAATTGGCATGCATGGTTCAGTTCTTTCTTTTCCTTTCTAAAGATCTAAAGATATATTATTTGCATATGTTCAATTTCTTTAACGTATATAGGACCCTACATTAGAGAAATTTAAAAGAACTGGTAGCATATACAAGGTAGATAGAAGCACTAGCTACTCTCCTAAGGATCTTGTCTTGTCTAACTTATCTACTAATGTAATATGTTTGTTGTGTACTGGTTTTAACTTTTCTTCTTGTCGTAGTTGTCGGTACTAGGCTCTCTGTTTTCTTTGTTCATTGACACATGTATGTTTTATTCACTACACTTGTTGCTTCTTTGCATACACTCTCATCTGTTGGCTGTCAGTATGTTTGTTTTCATTTTCGTTCGCAAACCGACTATTTTCACTAAAACAATAATGGGTAGAGGAATAATTTGCATACATCCTACCATTAACAATCTATTGGGTTAATTTGGTTTGGTTTGGCTTTTAAAGGATAAATATATGTTTTCAGAATACAAATAATATCTTCCTTTATTTATTTGTGTTACTATCTATACATAGCATATATCTTAAACGATGTACGCTGTCTGTATTGCTTGGAGTTGAATGGTTTTAGAGAACGACCCGTGAGTCTAAGCTCTGTATATTTTGTTTGAAAGTGAACCCGTGAGGGCAAACCTAATAATATCTGGGCCCTCCCTCCGATTTCTTTAACTGGTATCAAGGGGCAAAAGTTTATCGATCATCAATCCGTAGGTGCCACCGATTCTGTAGATGGACCCCATAAAGCAGTTAGATCAAAGATATCAAATATCATGGTAATTGGAAGAAAGCCATTAAAGACCTACCAATTTGCTTACCATTTTAGCTTCAATTGTAGGTCTAATTAAACGGTTAAAATTTATATTAAATTGTTATAAAATTATAAGTAGGTTCTTTTTTTGGTTAACCACGAGTGTTCGGATTGCCAAAGGCAAGTTTTTTTTATAGGTAGGTCTTTGTTTAATAGAAAATTGGTAGTTGTCAAGTTTGAGTGAAAGAAACAAACTATTGATTAAAAAGACTTTTTTCCTCTGCTTTTCAAAAAAGAACCTTGATTCTTCTTTTTGGTATCTTGTATTGAAAACATATGTAACTTTTTAAGTCCTATTAGTTTAGAATGTTTAAATTCCAATAGATTACTTTAGAATCTAGAAACTTGGGTGCATAATTAATTTCCAAATTATTGTAGGTTGGTGATCCAATTAAGGACCATAACTGTTGGGAAAGGCCAGAGGATATGGACACGGCTCGGACCGTATACATGGTGGAAGCACCAAATCCAGCTTCCGATGTGGCTGGAGAGACAGCAGCGGCTTTAGCCGCTTCATCCATGGCATTCCGGTCTTCTGATCCTGGCTACTCGGACACCCTCCTAAGAACAGCTATCAGAGTTTTTGGTTATGCTGATACTTACAGGGGGGCCTACAGCGATAACACAAACATTAGGGATGGTGCTTGCCCATTTTACTGTGATTTTGATGGATATCAGGCAAGCATATATATAACTATATTCTTGAAAAATACATTTAAAAAGCAATCATAAATTTTTTTGTGTGAAAATATATACATTTATGGTACTTGGCAGGATGAGTTGTTATGGGGAGCAGCATGGTTAGGAAGGGCTTCTGGGGATGAAAGATACCTGGATTACATACAAAGCAATGCTAAAAGTTTGGGTGCTGATGAAAATATTAATGAGTTTGGATGGGACAATAAGCATGCTGGCCTTAATGTTCTTGTTTCCAAGGTACAATCAAACCTTACTCCCTTTATACTTTTTATGTTTTTGGCGTGGATCCGTACAATCAAAATGTTTAGACTGGTTTTGATCATTTTCAATTTTAATATTATGGGTTATATTTGTTTGGTTAACGAAAAAAATATGACTACAAATATTATTTACTTGTCATGTCTTGACAAACTAACCGAAAAACTAGTTTTGGCCAAAGTTGTTGGCTGAAAAAATGGTTGTTAGTCGTGTTAGCTGAAAAGTTAGTTGTAGTAGAAACCTCCAATGACTAAATCCTTGCATGAATTGCTAAGGATCCAATAAGCTCATCAGTTAGCTCATAAGCTTGATAACAGTGTACCTAAAGAAAATGTTGAAAAAATAATTACAAAAAAGCCTAGAGCTTATTGAAACGTTACTTCAAGTAGCTTTTCAAAAAGCTAGCATATAGCATCTATACTTAATGAAGTTTTTTCAATAAACTCAAAAAATGGGCTAAAATAGGAAATAGAGAAAAAAAGTATAAATATATCATAACATAACAACATTTTTTTCATCACAAATCCTCTTTCGATTTTGAATGCAGGAAGTTTTGGAAGGTAAATCGTATGATCTGGAGTCTTACAAAGCATCTGCGGATAGCTTCATGTGCACACTAATACCCGAATCGTCCTCTTCTCACATTGCATACACTCCGGGAGGCCTAATTTACCGACCGGGTGGAAGCAATTTACAACATTCAACTTCAATCACATTCCTCCTACTAACTTACGCCAATTACCTAGAGCGATCCTCAACTTCCATAAATTGCGGTACCATAAGCGTGGGACCCACTAAGCTTCGTGTAATCGCCAAACGCCAAGTGGATTACATCCTAGGGGAAAACCCCAAGGGAATGTCGTATATGGTAGGGTATAGCGATAGGTATCCGCAACGGATTCATCATCGAGGCTCGTCCATACCCTCCATCAAAGACCATCCGCAATTTATCGGGTGTAAAGAAGGCTCCATTTATTGTAACTCGTCCAATCCCAACCCAAACGTTTTGGTTGGGGCCCTGGTCGGTGGACCCCAGGAAGACGATGAGTATGAGGATGATCGATTTGATTTCAAAAAATCCGAGCCCACAACCTACATTAATGCACCGTTTGTTGGAGCTTTAGCATTTTTTGCCGCTAATCCTAACCCCATTTAGCGGATCTACAGTTTTTTACGTTATGACATCAAATCGGATATCATCGGAGTACGGTTATTTCTCGTTTCCGAGTGGATATTAGGCAAAAGGGTAAACATTTTAGATGGGTAGGGAAGAAAAGTCTCTCATCTTGTGCTAAAAGCCAAGAGGGAAGAGATAGCTTAATTGGTGCTTGGTTTTCTAATACAAAATTTTGGTTTCTTTAGCTTTGTTTATCTCATCATCGATCATATAATAAAATCAATTTGTGCATCAGTTCTTAAAGTCATGTGATACAATGAGTTTTTTTGCGTTTTAATCGATACGATGCACGTTTAGATGACATGATATAACTACTTAATGAACTATTCAAGTTTTATTGTACGGTCACGTTACGGTCACGTCAAGTGTAATTCATGTACTGTGAAGTTATTATTTTAAAACTCGTTAAATGATTTTGTATCATAGGTCTCTTTTAACCATATAGGCTTTAATTTCATTGTAAACAATTACCAAACAATTATATTTCATTTTGCACTATATAATGAGAACTTCTTAATCATTCTGCACCAAAGTATTCAGCAACTACCAAAGTTATTAATGTAACTTAAAATTGTAATGATCAGTTTTAAATATTGATTATTTAGAGTTTGAATTTCGGATAGAAATGGAATTCTTATAATTTTACAGATAAAAGCAATCACATTTGAAAAAGACTGTTAGAAGTTTATGTAGAAGAATGATTGTTGAAATGGTGTATAATAATGTATTATTGATAACTTTAAACTGATCGATTATCTTAATTTTTCAATATCCAGATTTGCAATAACCATTTTACATGTGTTTGTTTAAAAACTAATACATATTGACCTAACGAAACGACTTTCATTAACAGCCGGTTATAATTTTCAACAAGAAAAAGGAACTGGGTGCTTTGGCTACCCTACCTCGTTCCCTTCACAAGCCAACTACGACTGGAATCGAATTGCTCCGTTTGATAGATCAAGATGCATCCGGATCAAGATCTTGTAAATTCATTGTCTTTCTTGATTCAGGAGATCATCATGGATGTTTAAGTCTAAATCGAACACTAAATTACTGAATATAATGTAAGACTTGAGATCGTGTGAGACCCGTAAGACCAATTCTCAACCTTTGGATTGAATCTACAATCTGAACATTCATAATCACAAAATTATCACCATACAACTTTAGACCATTAAATCATTAGCTTATAAAGTTGATCAATTATTATAAATTGGTCTTACGGGTCTCACGAAAAACCTTTTGTCTCATATGAACCCAACCATATAATGTAATAATTAGTAAAGTTTAACTAAAAAATCTTTAAAATTTTGAAAATTTAAGGAGGTAATTTGACGTGTCTCTATTTAAATTGTTCTAGAAAGTAAATCACGAATCCGTTGTAGTCTAGTTGGTCAGGATACTCGGCTCTCACCCGAGAGACCCGGGTTCAAGTCCCGGCAACGGAATTTCTTTTTCCTTTTTTTTCAAAATATTTTCGGTTGGTTTGTAATAATATATTTAAAATATTTGTTTTGTAATAAATAATTTAATTTGATTATTTTGTAATTTGTTTTTGTAAAAAATGTAATACAATTTAATTCCTAATTCTACAAACTGAACATATAAAAATTCAAAAGTCTTGTAATTCAGAATCCTCACAATTCCAAATCATTTCATGAAATCCAAATGTATACTATATTATAAAGCATTTGACAAATTATTTTAAAAGCTATTTTTTATGCATGAGGTACCGTTTACTAATGTATATTACTTAAAATTCAAGATTACAAATAAATTGTACGTAAGTACAACTTATTAAAGCTTCATGTTTGAATTCGTGTAACTAGCTGTAAATAAACATAATCAAATACAAGATAAACATTGCAGTTTAAATATAAAAAATCTAAAATATAATTAGAATAATCATTAAGTTCTAACAGAATACTTAATGATTATCCTTATAAAAAAATTATATTATTAGATCAAAAATAAATTACTTAGTTATTGACTCTTAAATAAATTATAATACTAAATTGAATTAAAGAGATTATACAAAAAACAATAACTTTTTAATAGTTAATTTGATACTAATATTGATATATTCATTTTCGAAATTTTATGATATTTTCAAAATTTTATTTTATTCAAAAATAAAAACATTATCCATTTCTCAAAACCACATACTGTATTAAAACATCTACAGAGATTGAATAAAACAAAACATTAAAATCAAGATATATCTCGTTACATTACGCGATTACCCTTCTAGTATCCCAAAAACATTCTGTCAAACACAAACGGACCCTTAAATTTCAACTTTCGATTCTTCACATAAAAGACGATGCTCTATCATTTTTGTACTTATCTGTATTAAATCGCTTTGATTCTGTCTTGTTAAAGTCGATTGATTGCGTGGTCATGGTTTATAATTTTTATAGTACCTGATCCTGAAATCAAAATAAATATGGATTTGAACCTACACTCCCCATCCAAGCAAAATTCATTAACCCTAGTTAACTCATCAGGTATTTTGGTCATTTTATTTTTTAATTTGTTTTTACTTTTTATAAAGTTAAAAATATTATCATATATATATATAGGTGATTCGATTTTAGTATATGCAGGGCCGGCCCTGGCCACGTGCAGCCCGTGCGGCCGCACAGGGCATCAAAGTCTAAAGGGGCATCAAAGTCTAAAGAGGCATCAAGTTGTCATTTATTACTAATTTTGAGTTTAATAATTTGGGAATTGGACAACTGAGCTTTAACTATAAAAACAAACCCAAAGCCTAGTAGTGATGAATATTGAATGCACATTGTTGGAAAAAGTTGGAAAGTCGAAAAAGTTTTTGTTTGTATAAAGTTGTCTGTATGAATTAATCTGTTTGTATAAGTTGGAATTTTTTTTTGTTTAGGAGAGTTTTTTCGCAGATGTAAGGAGCGTTTTTTTAGTTGGAAGGGACATGTTTGGAAAAGAAAAAAACTTGACTTTCTATATAAAGCTTCCCCTAGAAGTTTACTGAATAAATCACTTTCTATATCATCAAGTCACTACGAAACAATCATGCATAGTTAAGCGAATAAGCTGTTAGTTCCATTAAACTTATTAAGTTGCTAATAGATAATCTCTTAGCATTTAGTTATTAGACTTGTAACTTTTGAGTTTTATTTTTTACTTACTATGACAATAATTGAATGTAATTTACTATTTTAGTTGAAAACTAATTATAGATTTCCTTGTTTTTTAAGTCCTATAAATTGAAATAAAATTTCTATTTTTCTAATTTCAATTTGGAAAAAGGAAAGCTGGAAAAGAATGAAATACAATCTTAATCCAGGATTTTTCTTTTATCATTCTACATTTTGTATTCGGGGATTTGGTTTTTATGCCCGCCCCCCCCCCCCATATTGTTTTTTTTTTATTATAAAATTAATAAAAATCAATATGGGGATGAGACACTTAACTTGAATAGGTTTTAAACTCGTTAAAAAATCGCATGTTTCGTTGACTTAAAAAATAGGCTTAGGGACATTTTTATTATTTTTGCACAAGGCATCAAAAAACTTAGGACCGGCCCTAAGTATATGTGGGACCCTGTGCGGTAAATTGCACATTTCTCCTTCAATTTTCATCCAGCAGCATTGTACGTACACACAACTAGTGTGTGTGCATGTGTGCATGTGCCAGCTATATATAAAAAATGATGTTCTATCAAAAGTGCGAAATCAGGCCGATTTCTTTTAAGCAATGATGGCTTGAAGAGTTGATTCCAATCTTGATGATTATATTTTCAATCTTCAGTTCGTGTTCATGTTTTTTTAGTTAATGAGATTACGCCATCAGTTTTATATAATCTTTACTATATTATAAAGTATTTGGCTAAAACTCTTAAAAACTTTTAAAACTCTTAAAAACTCTTAAAAACTCTTAAACTCGTTCATCACTATCCGATTTCATCCCATATTTGAATTCGTGTAACTAACTGCAGATAAACACAATCAAATAAAGGATAAACATCTCATTTTAAATATAAAAAATCTAAAATATAATTAAAATAATGATTGAATTCTAAGAGAATACTTAATTATTATCTTTATAAAATGTTATATTATTAAACCAAAAATAAATTATTACATTATCAAACTTAAATTAAATTAAAAAAAATAATTTATACTATATTATATTATAAAGCATTTGACAAAATTATATTATAAAGCATTTGACAAAAACTCTTAAAACTACTTTTTATGCGTAAAATACTGTTTATTAATGCATATTACTTAAAACTCAA